TTTACTCAATGTCACCTTTTTTTTAGGGTTTTTCTTATACATTGCTAACTATAACATTCTACCTTCTCACCAGACAAAGAGAACTCATCTGAACTCATGCAGTAGACTTTCTCAGTTAGCCAAAGTTCATGTGTTCATGTAATTTAAGTCAGTCAGTCAAAATGGAATCGGCCCAGATATGTGTTGCTCAATCAGTTGTTTGAGCTTTTCTTAGTTGTCAGGGTTTTGTCAACTGCACTGCATTAGAAGAGGTTTTCTTAGACTCCATCTTATGATGTAAGCAGTTGTGAAATATTATTCCAACATAAAAAGTTTTTTGAGATTTTACCGTCTTTTATTCTTGTTTTCGTTTTTAGAAAAAGTGAGAATCTCTGGAGATTTTTTTGTTTTCCGTTGTCGCCCATCATCCTAAACCATAGTTTTGGCCCTTTCCACTCATCCTCCTTGACCCTTCTGTGTAGTCATCTAGCTAAACTGTTTGACTTGAACAATTTTTGATATACTTACAGTCAACTGGAGTACACTCTACATAAAAATATGACCTACAAAACTCTCTTTCTGAAGCTAGGTCTATATGGAGAAGAACACACCAAAATTTGTGTAAACTGATTAAGAAAGAATGTGAGTGCAAAACACAGGATGCAGCATCACATTATGTCGTCTCATATGTAAACATTGAAACATAAAGCCAGCATTGTTCCACTCTGGGACCCAAATTAGAATTTTTTTTTTATTTTGCCATTTGAATTTACCTTACAAATAAAAATGGTTCTAATGCATGCATTAGCTCATCCCCTCTCCCGTATGGTCAAACCAGTGAGCTCATTGTTATTGTCATGGTCCTTTCATGAACATCACAACTTAACACTTATACAATACGAGTCACTCAAGGTTGTGTTCCAACTTTCTCCTTAACTGTTCACGCCATCTGCATTTCTTTTCTTCTTTTTTTTAAGGTTTTGTTGGCTCTAGTTGTCTTTTATTTGAAAGTAGTTTGACAGGAACCAGGGTAATGAGAGAGGGGGAAGACATGCAGCAAATGTATCGATCCTCTGACCACAAGGACTAAGGCCTCGATACGTGGGTCGTGCTTTGCCCCTGCGCCACCACAGCAAACACACTGAGACACAATCTGGAACATAGAAACCAACAATTAAGCTAATTGTCTTCATAAGCAATTCTAAAAAAAAATCTTATTGAATTAATTGGGGTTTGCACCATGCAAATGCACGGCAGGCACCTATTGTTCTACACCCAATTTAGCAGGCCCCTATTTACTGCAGTCTTTCAGAAATATCTGAAAGTCTGCAGAATTTATCAGAATGGTGTGATGAGAGCAGAAGTAATTGATTTGGCCAACATGGAGAAAAAACATGCACTACTTACACAATTGCACTAACAAAACAGATGCCATGATCCTGAATGGTGTATTCTTTAATTTTAGAATGATGGACTCTTACTTTAGAGACCGCAATACAAGGGCAGTCGACTAAAACGGTAAAACACAGACATAATTTAAGTATCATTATACTGACACCATTTAATCAATTACTTTTGGATACTTTTTTGTACTTACTTGCTCAGACCATGTTCATCCATATTGTGAAACAGAAAAGAGAAGTTAAAATCAGGCTGAACTGCATCTTCAGGATAAATCTTTTCCTTTAAATGTCCACCTGTCGAGTCTTTCAGTGAACACAGCTTCTCAGTAAATGATCTCCCTGCCAAAATGTGTAGAAGAGCAGAGAATACAACCGGTTGTGGATTTTCTGCTTGCCCAGTCTTGTTCAGGCAACGGATGTGGTGCTCATCTTTCAAGCAGCAACATGCTTTCACTCTTCCGAAACTCCAAGTATCGACCTCAGGAAACGGCAAGTTTACCTTTCAGTGTAAGGTGTGAATCATTTTATTTACCCTGGTTCTGCCCACACTGCACTAAATTTGAGCATAAACATTCCTGTCTACACACTGTACAGACAAATTATTATAATTTTCCACCACAGTCACTCTGAAAATCTTGATTTGCCTCATATTTCTTTAAAAATCATTATATTTACCTTATTCACAAAACTACCTAACCTTTATTTATTCAGTGTCACTTTTGTTAGGGCTTTTCTTATACATTAGCATTCTACCTTTCATCAGACAAAGAGAACTCATACTTTTTGAATCATTGTATGTCCCTTATGCACACAACCATGTAACATTTATTTATTCTAACCACATTTTACATCACTAATAATTTACAATCTACCTTCTCACCAGACAAAAGAGAACTCATCTGAACTCATACAATAGATTTTCTCAGTTAGACAAAGTTCATGTGTTCATGAAATGTAAGTCAGTCAAAATAGTATTGACCCAGACATGGGCTGTTCGATCAGTCGATTGAGATCATCTCAGTTGTCAGGGTTTTGCAAACTGTATTACATCAGAACAGAAGGTTTTTTTAGACTGTATCTCATGATGTAAGCAGTTCACAAAAATATATCAAAATGTTGTGAAATATTATTCCAGCAATATGTTTTTTATACTTGTTTTCCTTTCGGAAAAAGTGAAAATCCCTGGAGATTTTCTTGTTTTTGCCCATCATCCTACGCCATTGCTTTGACCCCTTCCACTCATGCACTGTCAAATGGAGTTCACGCTATTAAAATATGACCTACAAAGCCCCCTTTCTGATACATTAGCCCACCGTCTCTCCTTCATGATTAAACCAGTGAGCTCACGTTGTCGTTGTCATGGTTCTCTCATGAACATGACAATATCTACGCTCAAATTCATTGGGTTGAGGTCAGGATTCTGTACAGGCCAGTCCAGTTCATCCACACCAGACTCTGCCATCCATGTCTTTATGAACCTTGCTTTGTACACTGGTGCAGCCATGTTGGAAGAGGAAGGCCCCAGCACCAAATTCTTCCTACAAAGTTGGGAGTATAGAATTGTTCAAAATGTCTTGGTATGCTGAAGCATTCAGCGTTCCTCTCACTGGAACTAAAAGGCCAAGCCCAGCTCCTGAAAAAACAATCCCAAAACATAAGACCGCCTCCACTAAACTGTACAGTATTCACAATGCAGTCAGACAAGTACCGTTCTCCTAGCAACCACCAAACCCAGATTCCTCTGTCAGATTGCCAGATGGAGAGGCGTGGTTTGTCACTTTAGAGAATATGCCACCACTGCTTTAGAGCCCAGTGGTGGCGTGCTCTAAACCACTGCATCTGACGCTTTGCTTTGCACTTGGTGATCTATTGCTTAGATGGAAAGCAATAGATGGACCACATGAAGCTTGGAGGTCTATTGTGGTTCACTTTGCAAAAAAGATGGCAATCTCTTTGCACTATGTGCTTCAGCATCCGCTGACCCCGCTCCGTCAGTTTACATGGCCTACCACTTCATTCCTAAACACTTCCATTTTCTTATGATACAGCTGACTGTTGACTGTGGAATATTTCGGAGAAAAGAAATTTCACGACACAATTTGTTGCATCCCATCACAGTTCCACGCTGGAATTCACTGAGCTCCTGAGAGCGACCCATTCTTTCACAAATGTTTGTAAAAAAAACAGTCTGTGTGCCTAGGTGCTTAATTTTACACACCTCTGGCCATGAAAGTGATTAGAACACCTGATGACGATAATTTGGGTGTTGTGAGCACATACTTTTTGCGATATGGTGCATCACTTGTTTTACCTGGAGAGCACAATTACTAAAAAGAAATAATGATTGTGGACATTCACCATTTAAACTGCAGCTATAATTTAGTATATTATACATATTTTGTCTATCCAAAGCTTTTATCTACAATCTTACTGCTGGTTCTCTTATCAGCTGTTTGTTTGAGCTGGTTTCATTTCTGCATATGCAGAAAAATTGACACAATCTGGAACATAGGAACCAATAATTAAGCTAATTGTATTCATAATCAATAAAAAAAACTTTATTCAATTAATTCCTATTAGGATTATTTATTTACAGCAATAATGTTTGTTCAATTATTTATTTATAAGCTAGAACAATGAAAATATATTTATTTTTGCTTTATGTACACGTTTATTTAAAAAATATTTATCTTTACATACACACAGCATAAATATAAAGCATAGCTTCACAATTATTTTGTTGCGCTACATTAAAGCTTTGATTCTCACGCTGGTCAGGACACTCGGGAGTAGCAAAACAACCTGTAGGTGTTAAATAGTTGCGAAGAAAACATGGCAAAAAAAAATAAAAAATAGGAACATATCAAATATTGCAAATATTGCTGCTATTCATCCTCAACTTATCTTATGTGTTCATGAGCTGCAAAGCATTGAAAGCCACAGTATTCAAAAATTTCATGTTCTATTTCCTAGAAGAAACTATGCAAAAAGAAGTCACTTTGATTCATTTGTATATCTTCTGTGCCATCCCTTTTTTTTTCCATTTCCTGGTTGTTTGGCGTCTTTGTCTGGATGCTTTTCTTTTTTGTCACGTATGTTGCTAGTACCGTGAGGTGGTAGCACATGACAAACGACAGAGGTGGGGGAAACGGGGATCAAACCGGCAACCTGCTGATCGCTGGTGAACTCCTACCACCATTGCCCCCATTGATAATGATCTTGATGCTGATGTTGGATTTGGAGTGGATTTTGCAGATGTTGAGGTTAAAGTTGTTGATGATGATGCTGTTGAAGAGGTTGATATTTTGGTTGATGATGCTAAGGTTAGTTCTTATGTTGGTTCTGATCCTAATAATGACGTTGGACTTGATTATACTGACGTTGGTTTTTATACAATGGCAGTGCTCTTGGTGTTGCTATTGTTTCACTATGTCTTTTCTCCAAGTGCAGAATAATTAGTTTTTTGTATTGGATGACCTCCCTAGCCTTTTTTTTTTTCACTTTCTTTTCTGTGTTATTGTAATGGCCCCGCACAATTTGGAGGATGCTGATGGTGTAGTCCAGCTGCTTGTTCCTTCTTTAGGATATGTTGCAGTTGGTTGAAGTTTAAGTGTTCTCCTTTTCTCCAGCTGCCGAATGACATGTTTTGCCCATTCATCATTGGGATCGGAGCAAATCGTCTTTCCTTTCACTGTACGAAACCTGAAATGTATTGTTAGTTGTTTAAATAATAATAACAATAATAATAATTACTATTATTATTATTCATTGCGGTCAATGCAGCATTATATAATTAGATTATTTGACAATGTTTTTGCTTCAACTATTACTGCTGGGGGGTTTTAATGATTATGATATCTATTGAAAAAGCTGTAGTGTATTGTATCAGATGTAATTGATATGATCAAGACGGAGTAAGAATATAGACTACTTACGCAATTGCACTAATGGTACATATCTCGTACTTCTAAATGGTGTACTTCTCAATATAAGAATGATGGATTCTTGTTTTGGAGACCACAGTACATGGACAACCATTAGGAGGTGCATCGCCTAAAAGCGTTATATAGAGAAACAGATAATTTAGCTATCAATATAATCAGATCAATTAATAAATTACTTTTTGATAATTTTAGTACTTACTTGCTTGAACCAAGTTCATCCATATTGTGAAACAGAAAAAAGAGTTTAGAATCAGGCTGAACTGCATCTTCAGTTATAACTCCTTGCCCTTAAATGAGTAGCTGTCGAGCCGTCCAGTAAACACTATTTCCCAGTAAACAATCTCCCCACCGATTCAGTCTTGTTCAGAGGCTAGACACGTCGTGTTGGTCTTTCAAAACAGCAATGTGCCTTCACTCTTCTGAAACTGCAAGTAATTTATCTCGGCTCTTTTTCGACTACAAACCTCTCTCGTTCTCACCTAAAACTTTCCTCCGCGACCAGAGAGCGTTGTCACAGCAGCTGCATGGCGGGTAGAGGAAGAGCAAATTCACCTTTCATGTCAAAGATGTGAGTCATTCCATTTACCACCGTCCTGCCCACATAGCAATAAATTTGAGCCTAAACATTCCTATATCTACACGCTATATAGACAAATTATCATAATTTTCCATCACGCTCACTCTGAAAATCTTGATTTGCCTCATATTTTTAATTCACACACTTTTTGAATCATTCTATTTCCCCTATGCACAAAACCATCAAACATTTATTTACTCAATGTCACCTTTCTTTAGGGTTTTTCTTATACATTGCTAACTATAGCATTCTACCTTCTCACCAGACAAAGAGAACTCATCTGAACTCATGCAGTAGACTTTCTCAGTTAGCCAAAGTTCATGTGTTCATGTAATTTAAGTCAGTCAGTCAAAATAGAATCGGCCCACACATGTGTTGCTCAATCTGTCATTTGAGCTCATCCTAGTTGTCAGGGTTTTGCAAACTATACTGCATCAGAACGGAAGATTTTCTTAGACTGTATCTTATGATGTAAGCAGTTGACAAAATTATGCACACATGCTGTTAAATATTGCAACAAAAAGTTGTTTTTATGCTTGTTTTGCCTTTATAAAAAGTGAGAATCTCTGGAGATTGCTTTGTTATCCGTTGTCGCCCATCATCCTAAACCATAGTTTTGACCTCTTCCACTCATCCTCCTTGACCCTTCTGTGTCTAGCTTGTTTGACTTGAACAATTTTTTGGTATACTTACTGTCAACTGGAGTACACTCTACATAAAAATATGACCTAGAAAAGTCATTTTCTAAAGCTAAGTCCACATAGAGATGAACACGCAAAAATGTTGAGTCCGAAACACAGGATGCAGCATCACATTGTGTTGTCTCAAATGTAAACACTGAAACGTAAAGCTGGCATTTTAAAAAAATTCTGGGACATAAATTAAGCTGGGACCCTGTTAATTGTTTTTTTTTTTTTTTTTTTTTTTTTTTTTTTCACAGTTTGTTCATTTGCAGGCACCTTACAAAAAAAAAAAAAAAAAAAAAAACATGGTTCTAATTGATGCATTCGCTCACCCTCTCTCCTTTATGGCTAAACCAGCTCATGTTCTGGTTGTCATGGTCCTTTTGTGAACAACACAGCAGAGCACAAAATAGATGATTGTGGGCATTCACTTATTCAAACTGCAGTTATAATTTAGTATATCACAGACATTTTTCTAACCAAAGTCATTCAAGGTTGTGCTCCATCTTACTACTTTAGTCTTCACAAAATCTGCATTTCTGACATTGGCATTTTATTACAGCCTTACTGCTGTCTCTCTTATCATCTGTGTATCTGACCTGGTTTTGTTTCTGCATATGGAAACACACCGAGACACAATCTGGAACACAGAAAATACTAATTAAACTGATTGTGTTCATAAGCTAAAAAAAATCCTATTGAATTAATTTCTATTAGGATTATGTATTCACAGCGATAATGTGCTTGTTCAATAATTCATTTATAAATTAGAACAATTAAAATATATAGTTTATTTTTGCTTTACATACAAATTTATATAAAAAATAGTCATCTTTACATGCATATAGTACAAATATAAAGCATAGTTTCGCAATTATTCTGTTGTGCTACATTAAAGATTTGATATTCAAGCTGGTCGGGACACACTGCAGGAGTTGAAAGACTTGTTGGATAGTTGTGAAGGAAAAAATGCAAACAAAATATGCACATTGGAAATATTAAATATGCAAATATTACCACTATTCCTCCTCGACTTATTGTATGTGTTCATGAGTTGCAAAGAATTGAAAGCCACAGTATTTAAGTATTGCGTGTTATATCTCTTAGAAGAAACTTTGCTGACAGCAGTAACTTTGATTTGCTTGCACATCTTCTCTGCCATTTCTTCATATTTCTCCTTCTGGGTCGTTTCCTGGTTCTTTGATGTCTTCGTGTGGATGGTTTTCTTGTTTTCACGGATGTTGCTGGTATGCGGTTGTTTGCTGAGGTGGCACCAGAGGTTCTAGAAGCGGTGTTTGATGATGTCATTGCCGATGTTGGATTTGGAGTTGACTGGGTAGATACTGAAGTTATGGTTGTTGAGGA